AGAATAACCAGGGATCAAGAGGGGCCCCTGTCCCATTCCCGAGGCGTGAGACCCCCAAAGAGGGCAGGGCTAGTGAAGACTCCACCCTTCTCTGTTTCTGAGGTTTAAAAAATAGAAAGAAGAAATAGAGGTCAAGAGAGATACCCCTCTCCACCATTCCCAGAAAAGGAGGAAGGAGCGGATGGACTCTCTGGGAACCCTCTCCCCTCCCTGCGCCCCGCCATCAAGGGGAAAATTCGAAGAAAAGGTTTAGTAGGGAAGCGACCTGTCCAGGAAACCCCTTAAAGCCTGCGGTAAATGCCCCGGGAAGCCTCCAGCCCTTCAATGCTCAGGTTCAAAGAGCCCCTCCCTCCGTCCTGGGAAAGCAAACCTCAGAGAATGGAGCCTTTTGGGAGCGAAGATGCTCCACCGTGTATTCCTCCAAATCTTCAAGGAAAAAACTCAGAATGTGGGGAGGGGAGAGGAGTCCGAAACCGCAGCCCCCATTCCGGGGGGCTCCAGTTTTCAAACCCTCCAGGCGTGTGTGGCCCCCCAGAAGAGTCCTGATCCCCTAGATTCTCCCCCTCCCTCTGCACAGTAGGCGGGGCTGGAGTTGGGGTGCGGGGAAACTCGTTCCTGTTTATAAAAAGCTCGCCAGCTGCGGAGGCGCCGAGAGACCAGAATAACTTAGCGCCTCGAGGCCCAGCCGCCGCCAACCCGGTCCCCAGCCCGCCCCCAGCACCCTGGAAGTACCGGGACGCCCCCCCCGGCCCCGTCCCCTCTCCATTTGCATTTGGGAAATTTTTGTTTTCTTTTTAGGGTAACATATTTGCTCCCTTCCCCACCCCCACCCCCACCACTAGAACTATAAAAGTATCACGAATCCACTGCGGAGAAATTGGGAATGTTCAGAAAAACAAAAAATAAAATAAAAAGAAATCCACCTCCCATTCTCCCCACCCTCGCGCCCACGCGGACACCCGCAGTCCAGTTGGCGCTCTGTGGGGGGCTCCAGGGGAGAGGGTCCAGGCCCGGCCTGGGGCCCCCTTGGAGGGGGGGAGGTTTTAGGCTGCTCAGCTCCCTGATCGCCCAAAGCCACGCTTCCTACATGGGTGGCGCTCTCAGAAATACCTTCTTCCTTTTTTTTCCCCAGGAAGGGAGAAGTCAGCCTGGAGAACGTGCAGAAGCTTCTGTCACTGACTTAGTATTTTAAAGTAAAAATAGCCGGGTACGGCTCACGCCTGTACTCCCACCATTTTGGGGGACCAAGACGGGAGGATCGCTTGAGCCCAGGAATTGGAGACCAGCCTGGGTAACATAGGGAGGCCCCATCGCTACAAAAAATTTTAAAATTAGCTGGGTGTGGTGGTGCGTGCCTGCGGTTCCAGCGACTCTCCAGCCTGAGGCAGGAGGATCACTTGAGCCCAGGAGGTCGAGGCTGTAGGAAACCGTATCGCGCCACTGCACTCCAGCCTGGACGTCAGAGTGAGACCCTGTCTCAAAACTAATTACTTGGCCGGGCGCCGTGGCTCACGCCTGTAATCCCAGCACTTTGGGAGACCGAGGCGGTTGGATCACCTTAGGTTAGGAGTTCGAGGCCAGCCTGGCCAACATGGTGAACCCCCGTTTCTGCTAAAAATACAAAAATTAGCCAGGCATGGTGGCAGTCGTCTGTAATGCCAGCTACACAGGAGGCTAAGAAGAATCGCTTGAACCCAGGAGGTGGAGGTTGCAGTGAGCCAAGATTGCGCCATGGCACCAGAGCAAGACCATGTCTCAAAAAAAAAAAAAAAAAAAAAAATCTAAATTTAAATTAAAGAAGAATGCAAGCCCTTGATTGCCCAGAGCAGCATTGGGCTCTGGAATTAGAAATGGATGAGCTAGCCGGGCGCGGTGGCTCACGCCTGTAATCCCAGCACTTTGGGAGGCTGAGGCGGGTGGATCACGAGGTCAAGAGATCGAGACCATCCTGGTCAACACGGTGAAACCCCGTCTCTACTAAAGCTACAAAAAATTAGCTGGGCATGGTGGTGCGTGCCTGTAATCCCAGCTACTCAGGAGGCTGAGGCAGGAGAATTGCCTGAACCCAGGAGGCGGAGGTTGCGGTGAGCCGAGATCGCGCCATTGCACTCCAGCCTGGGTAACAAGAGCGAAACTCCGTCTCAAAAAAAAAAAAAAAGAAAAGAAAAAGAAATGGATGAGCTAGGGGAGGGGCTGAGGGCTTGGGGCATTTTCTGTGTGGCAGGGGAGACAGAGCCAGTGGGAGAAGGGGCTGTGCTTCCCTGCTGGCCCCATTCAGAGGAAAGTCTAGAGGCCTCCCTGAGGCCACGCCGATCTTCTGCACTACCCAAATAAAAATACAAATTTGGCTAGGTGCGGTGGCTCACACCTGTAATCCCAGCACTTTGGGAGGCTGAGGCAGGAGGATCACTCCTTAACCTTTAGGTCAGGAGTTCAAGACCAGCCTGGCCAACCTGGCGAAACCCCATCTTACTAAAAATACAAAAATTAGCCAAGTGTGGCGGTCCCTGCCCCCAGAGGCTGCTGGGCAGGCTCAGGCATGAGAATCAAAAGAACCAGGGAGGCGGAGGCTGCAGTGAGATGAGATCGTGCCACCACTGATCTCCAGCCCGGGTAACAGAGGGCAACACTGTCACACACACACACAGAGGTCAGGCGTGGGTGGTGGCTCACGCCTGTAATCCCAACACTTTGGGATGGTGAGGCAGGCGGATCACCTGAGGTTGGCAGTTCGAGACGAGCCTGACCAACATGGAGAAACCCCGTGTCTACTAAAAATATAAAATTAGCTGGGCATGGTGGTTTATGCCTGTAATCCCAGCTACTCGGGAGGCTGAGGCAGGAGAATCGCTTGAACCCGGGAGGCGGAGGTTTTGGTGAGCAGAGATTGCACCATTGCACTTCAGCCTGGGTAACAAGAGCAAAACTCCATCTCAAAAAAAAAAAAAAAAGTATCCCGGATAGGGGCCCAGGGACAACTTCTCAGGGAAGAAGGCACTAACTTAAAACCCCATGGGTGAGGCTGGGTGCTGAGAGAGAAGCATTCCAGGTGGGGATCACAGCTTGTCTGAAGGCCTATGGTGGGACCAGGCTTGCAGTGTGGCCAGAGCAGGTACAGTCAGTGAGGGGAAACGGGCAAAAGCCTGTGGCTGAAATTGAAAGGAAACATACGAATATTCATTTATAAAAAATATGAATATTCTAGGGCCGGGTGCAGTGGCTCATGCCTGTAGTCCCAGCATTTTGGGAGGCTGAGGCGGGTGGATCACTTGAGGTCAGGAGTTCGAGACCAGCCTAGGCAACACGGTGAAACCCTAGCGCTATGTGGTGGTACACACCTGAAGTCCCAGCTAGCTACTCGGGAGGCTGAGGCAGGAGAATTTCTTTAACCCGGGAGGTAGAGGTTACGGTGAGCCAAGATTGCACCATTGCACTCCAGCCTGGGCAACAAAGCAAGACTCTGTCAAAAAAAAAAAAAAAAAAAAAAAACGAAGAAGAAGATAGAGAAAAGATAAGTAATATGAATATCTTATAACGGATGGAGAAAAAAAAAGGAAAATAAGTCAAAATACTGTAGGTGAATAATCTATGTGTGGTTATAACAGAATTTTATTTCCTTCTTTATACATTTTCGGTTTTTTCCAAATTTTCTACGGCGAACATGTATTACTTTGTAAGAGGACTGGAGGTGGGCATCTTGAAACAAACAACAAATCCCCTAAATCTCTGCCGTTTAAAAGTCTGGAAGGAAACACACCAAGTTCGTGATCCTGGATGACTTTTGGTTCTGGCACTGTGGAATTTGATCGTTAACTGCGATTACGATGAATTCGGAGTGGTGATAATATTTACGAACGAAGCCGGCTGCTCTGGAAGCCGAGGGCGGCTGCGATGACGCCTGTATCTTGTATAAATTTTCAGGCACGCGAGGAGGGAGGCAGAAGGGAGGGGCGGATACTGAGGCTTCGGGAGGCGGGGATCGAACCCGAGGCTTGAGCACAGTGCCGCCCAGTCCGCTCGGAGCCCCGACCAGCAGGAGGAGCTGTTCCAGGCGAGGTGCGGTAGGTGGAAGCATCAGGGCGGGAGGATGCCGCCCAGACCCACCCTCCAACTCCCGGCAAGCGCGCCCCGCCTGTCTCCCATGCTCGCCACCAGGGGGCGCCGCTGGCTAACATTGGGTGCCCAGATGGGGACTGAGCTGGCAATAGGACCGCTCTGCGCCTCACTTTCCCCATCGTGAAACGGGTAGGACACTCAATTTGGTCAGTCAAATGTCTTAAGATGTAAAGATTTTATTTAACCCCAAAGAAATGTCTAGGATATTTCAGGGAGGTCACAGACAACAACCCCCAACCTCCAGAGTTTGTGCCAGTGCTAGGATCAGGTTACAGAGGGGAAACTGAGGCCCAGAAGGGGCTATGGCGGCAAGAAAGTCTCTGGGGCCTCCCTCCCTCTAGGGGGAGCCTGAGGCAGTTTCAGGAATCAGGAGACTTAGAGACCTGCTAGGGAGGAACAATTGTGTGCTTTTGTTGCTGTCCTAGGGGAGGAGGAGTGTGTGGGGGACCCAGCATGGGGTCCCGAGGACAGAGAAAGCAGGAAGCTCCAACATCCAGAGACGCCGAAGACAGAAAATATAACGACTTAAAGCAACAAGTGGTGCCTAAGTTAAATCAGCCTTCAGAGATATGCCCGGCACAGCGACCTTCCCTCCCTCTCTGTCTCTCTGTCTTTCTTGACATGGAGTTCCCATGTTGTTACCCACGCTGGAGTGCAATGGCACGATCTTGGCTCACTGCAACCTCCACCTCCCGGGTTCAAGCAACTCTCCTGCCTCCCTAGTAGCTGGGATTACAGGCACCCTCCATCAGGCCCAGCTAATTTTTTGTATTTTAAGTAAAGATGGGGTTTCAAACTCCCGACCTCAGGTGATCCACCCACCTCAGCCTCCCAAAGTGCTGGGATGACAGGCGTGAGCCACCACGCCTGGCAATTTTTTTTTTTTTTTTGAGATGGAGTCTCGCTCTGTCGCCCAGGTTGTGCAATGGTGCTATCTCAGCTCACCGCAAGGCTCTTGAGCTCAAGCGGTTCTCCTGCCTCAGCCTCCCGAGTAGCTGGGATTACAGGCACCCGCCATCATGCCTGACGAATTTTTGTATTTTGAGTAGAGACGGGGTTTCACCACGTCGGCCAGGCTGGTCTCAAACTCCTAACCTCAGGTGATTCGCCCGCCTCGGCCTCCCAAAGTGCTGGGATTATAGATGTGAGCCACCAAGCACAGCCTCAGAGCCCCCTCTCTTTCTTTCTTTCTTTCTTTTTTTTTTTTTTTTGAGGCAGGGTCTTGCTGTGTTGCCCAGGCTGGAGTGCAGTGGTGCGGTCATAACTCTCTTCAGCCTCCAACTCCTGGGCTCAAGCGATCCGCTTTGTCTCAGCCTTCTGAGTGGCTGGGACTACAGGTGTACACCACCATGCCTGGCTAATTTTTTATGTTTTGCAGATACAGGGGTCTTGCTGTGCTGCCCAGGCTGGTCTCAAACTCCTGAGCTCAAGCAGTACTCACACCTCAGCCTCCCAAAGTGCTGGATTACAGGCATGAGCCTCCACACCTTGCCCAGCCTCTCTTTTCTGCCCCCGATTTCCTACCACAGCTTCGGAAACAACCTCGGGTATGAATGAAGCTTTGATGCCAAAAATGCCCCCATTTGCAGTCTTACACTCTTGCAGAGAGCTGCTTGGTAGAAGCAGATGGGGAGATGCCTTTGGAATGGTCTGCTGACTCCCCACCCCTCGTGCAGGGCTGCTACAGAGGCATAAAGCTGGCACAAAGTAAATGGGCAATAAATATTTGATAAAGAAGGAAAGAATTAAATGACAGATGTGGCTCAAGAGTGACCACTGGAGAGGGTGGACAAGAGGCTCTAGCAGACACCACCTCTCCACGCCAGGGAGAGAAACCCGGGGGAAAGACCCCAAGGGCACTGTAAGAGGCTGCCCCTTAGAGAGCTCTTTTAGGCAAGCCTGGGGTCAGAGTGGACCCCAGCCAGTTGCCTCCAATTAGATCCTGAGCGCTGCCTAAAACTAAGAGCTTGACTGTCTCCCTCAGTGGGTGGGAAAGTGAAGTAGGGACCACATGGGGCATCTTCCTGGAAAGTTTGCTTGCAAGTCAGAGAGTTTCGCCATCCCACGGCCCTCGCGGTTCACGCAGGGCTGGCCCTAAGTCCTCTGGCTGTCAAGGGGTAGGTCCCCAGGGTCTGGGCTGGCTTCAGGGGGCAGTTCAGTGTCAGACAACTCCAAGGCCTCTTTGTCTAAAGCTGTCTCTTCCCCCTCCTCTTCCTCCTCCTCCTCCTCTTCCTCTGCCTCCTCCAGAGGCATCCCAAACTGGAATCTGTCAGGCCCACCCCACTCGGGGTTGGTGAGGCCGGAGGGGCTTCGGGGGATCTTGCTCTGGTACCATTCTCGATTGTCCTCTAGTGTGTCCAGCAGGTCCTGTGCGTCTGGGTGGACCAGGTCAGCCCAAGTCTCCCACAGTGGGTGGGCAATGTAGTCAATGAAACCCACCTGTGGGGGATGAGGTGGGGCAGGTAGGCATCTGGTGAGTCACAGCAAACCCTAGACCCGATCCAGCCTCCAGATCTTTAGCCAGGTTGTTCCTTCTGCCTGGAATGACACTTCCCAACTCCTACTCATCCTTCAAAACCCTCTTCAAATAACCCATCCTCTAGAATGCCTCCCTTATCCCTTCTGGCCTCCTCCAACCCCAGCCCTGACCCCACAGGGCTGACTGTATATGTGGGGTTGGCTCAGCCCTTCCCTGTCTCCTCCCTCCCAGTGTCTACCAGCTCAACCCAGTCCCCTGCCGACCTGGGACTTCTCCACTGAGGCCGTGTGCTTGTCACACATGGGGCTGATGTCCAGGCCCGACTCACGCTCGCGGTCTCCCTGCTGGAAGAACTCGGCCATGATGCGGTCCGTCCACTGGCGGTACAGGGGCAGCGGCTTGGTGGGGTTGCTCAAGTCGGCACAGTGCACCAGACTCTGCAAGACCTGCAGAGACGGAGGCTGGGGAGGGCACTGGCGGGGCCCAGCCGCACCGAGACCTGGCCCCCACAGACAGGCTTGGTGCCGTGGACACATCCATCCTACAAGTGGGGAAACTGAGGCCGGGAGCTGAAGAAGTGGTTGAGGCACAGGCATGTGACTCTTGCCATTTCTTTTAGTTCGGCATGCAGTCGCCACTTCATAAATGAAGCTAAAGGAGAACTGCAAAAATGGAGGGCCTCTCCCACTTTTTTTTTTTTTTTTAGTGAGACAGGGTCTCACTCTGTGACCCTGGCTGGAGTGCAATGGCGAGATCTCGTCTCACTGCAACCTCTGCCTCCCGGGGTCAAACGATCCTCCCAGCCCAGCCTCCCGAGTAGCTGGAACTACAGGCGTGCACCAGCACACCCGGCTAATTTTTATATTTTTGTAGAACGGGGTTTTGCCCAGGCTGGTCTCGAACTCCTGAGTTCAAGCAATCCGCCCATCTCAGCCTCTCAAAGTGCCAGGATTACAGGTGTGAGCCACCGAGCCCAGCCTTATTTATTTATTTTTGAGACAGAGTTTTGCTCTTGTTGCCCAAGCTGGAGTGCAATGGCTCAATCTCGGCTCACCCCGCAACCTCCGCCTCCCCAGTTCAAGCGATTCTCCTGCCTCAGCCTCCCAAGTGGGATTACAGGCATGCACCACCATGCCCAGTTAATGCTGTATTTTTAGTAAAGACGGGGTTTCTCCATGTTGGTCAGGCTGGTCTCAAACCCCCAGCCTCAGGTGATCCACCCACCTCTGCCTCCCAAAGTGCTGGGATTACAGGTGAGAGCCACTGCACCCAGCCTGACACGGAGTCTTGTTTTGTCGCCCAGACTGGCATGCGATGCCGTGATCTCGGCTCACTGCAACCTCTGCCTCCTGGGTTCAAGCGGTTCTCCTGCCTCAGCCTCTTGAGTAGCTGGGACTACAGGTGTGTGCCACTATGCATGGCTAATTTTTTGTATTTTTAGTAGAGACGGGGTTTCACCATGTTGGCCAGGGTGGTCTTGAACTCCTGATCTTGTGATCTGCCCACCTCGGCCTCCCAGTGTGCTGGGATTACAAGCATGAGCCACCATGCCCGGGTTTTTGTTTGTTTGTTTGTTTGTTTGTTTGTTTTAAGAGACAAGGTCTCACTCTGCTGCTCAGGCTGGAGTGCAGTGGTGCAGCCTCTCTCTAACTCCTGGCCTCAAGCGATCCTCACACCTTGGCCTCCCTAAATGCTGAGATTACAGGCATGCGCCACTGCGTCCAGCCTTCTCATAAACTAAATGTGTAAGAAGCCTGGCTAAAATTGTTTTTTTTTTT